TGCCTGCGGTACGCCGCATTGGAGAGGCGGTTGGGGGAGATCGACCGTGCTCGAGCCATCTTTGTGCACGTCAGCCAGCCCGCAGACCCGCGGTCGGACGGGGAGTTCTGGGGAGGCAGTCCACTGATCTCTCCCCCTCTTCTTCCCCCTCTCCTCCCCCTGCTTCCCCCGCTCCTCCGCCCCTCCTCCCCCACTTTCCCTCCCCCATCCCCTCCCTCCCTGCAGCGGGCGATCGAGTCAGGCCTACCAGATGCGGATGCGAAGCGCATGTGCCTGCGGTACGCCGCATTGGAGAGGCGGTTGGGGGAGATCGACCGTGCTCGAGCCATCTTTGTGCACGTCAGCCAGCCCGCAGACCCGCGGTCGGACGGGGAGTTCTGGGGAGGCAGTCCACTGATCTCTCCCCCTCTTCTTCCCCCTCTCCTCCCCCTGCTTCCCCCGCTCCTCCGCCCCTCCTCCCCCACTTTCCCTCCCCCATCCCCTCCCTCCCTGCAGCGGGCGATCGAGTCAGGCCTACCAGATGCGGATGCGAAGCGCATGTGCCTGCGGTACGCCGCATTGGAGAGGCGGTTGGGGGAGATCGACCGTGCTCGAGCCATCTTTGTGCACGTCAGCCAGCCCGCAGACCCGCGGTCGGACGGGGAGTTCTGGGGAGGCAGTCCACTGATCTCTCCCCCTCTTCTTCCCCCTCTCCTCCCCCTGCTTCCCCCGCTCCTCCGCCCCTCCTCCCCCACTTTCCCTCCCCCATCCCCTCCCTCCCTGCAGCGGGCGATCGAGTCAGGCCTACCAGATGCGGATGCGAAGCGCATGTGCCTGCGGTACGCCGCATTGGAGAGGCGGTTGGGGGAGATCGACCGTGCTCGAGCCATCTTTGTGCACGTCAGCCAGCCCGCAGACCCGCGGTCGGACGGGGAGTTCTGGGGAGGCAGTCCACTGATCTCTCCCCCTCTTCTTCCCCCTCTCCTCCCCCTGCTTCCCCCGCTCCTCCGCCCCTCCTCCCCCACTTTCCCTCCCCCATCCCCTCCCTCCCTGCAGCGGGCGATCGAGTCAGGCCTACCAGATGCGGATGCGAAGCGCATGTGCCTGCGGTACGCCGCATTGGAGAGGCGGTTGGGGGAGATCGACCGTGCTCGAGCCATCTTTGTGCACGTCAGCCAGCCCGCAGACCCGCGGTCGGACGGGGAGTTCTGGGGAGGCAGTCCACTGATCTCTCCCCCTCTTCTTCCCCCTCTCCTCCCCCTGCTTCCCCCGCTCCTCCGCCCCTCCTCCCCCACTTTCCCTCCCCCATCCCCTCCCTCCCTGCAGCGGGCGATCGAGTCAGGCCTACCAGATGCGGATGCGAAGCGCATGTGCCTGCGGTACGCCGCATTGGAGAGGCGGTTGGGGGAGATCGACCGTGCTCGAGCCATCTTTGTGCACGTCAGCCAGCCCGCAGACCCGCGGTCGGACGGGGAGTTCTGGGGAGGCAGTCCACTGATCTCTCCCCCTCTTCTTCCCCCTCTCCTCCCCCTGCTTCCCCCGCTCCTCCGCCCCTCCTCCCCCACTTTCCCTCCCCCATCCCCTCCCTCCCTGCAGCGGGCGATCGAGTCAGGCCTACCAGATGCGGATGCGAAGCGCATGTGCCTGCGGTACGCCGCATTGGAGAGGCGGTTGGGGGAGATCGACCGTGCTCGAGCCATCTTTGTGCACGTCAGCCAGCCCGCAGACCCGCGGTCGGACGGGGAGTTCTGGGGAGGCAGTCCACTGATCTCTCCCCCTCTTCTTCCCCCTCTCCTCCCCCTGCTTCCCCCGCTCCTCCGCCCCTCCTCCCCCACTTTCCCTCCCCCATCCCCTCCCTCCCTGCAGCGGGCGATCGAGTCAGGCCTACCAGATGCGGATGCGAAGCGCATGTGCCTGCGGTACGCCGCATTGGAGAGGCGGTTGGGGGAGATCGACCGTGCTCGAGCCATCTTTGTGCACGTCAGCCAGCCCGCAGACCCGCGGTCGGACGGGGAGTTCTGGGGAGGCAGTCCACTGATCTCTCCCCCTCTTCTTCCCCCTCTCCTCCCCCTGCTTCCCCCGCTCCTCCGCCCCTCCTCCCCCACTTTCCCTCCCCCATCCCCTCCCTCCCTGCAGCGGGCGATCGAGTCAGGCCTACCAGATGCGGATGTGAAGCGCATGTGCCTGCGGTACGCCGCATTGGAGAGGCGGTTGGGGGAGATCGACCGTGCTCGAGCCATCTTTGTGCACGTCAGCCAGCCCGCAGACCCGCGGTCGGACGGGGAGTTCTGGGGAGGCAGTCCACTGATCTCTCCCCCTCTTCTTCCCCCTCTCCTCCCCCTGCTTCCCCCGCTCCTCCGCCCCTCCTCCCCCACTTTCCCTCCCCCATCCCCTCCCTCCCTGCAGCGGGCGATCGAGTCAGGCCTACCAGATGCGGATGTGAAGCGCATGTGCCTGCGGTACGCCGCATTGGAGAGGCGGTTGGGGGAGATCGACCGTGCTCGAGCCATCTTTGTGCACGTCAGCCAGCCCGCAGACCCGCGGTCGGACGGGGAGTTCTGGGGAGGCAGTCCACTGATCTCTCCCCCTCTTCTTCCCCCTCTCCTCCCCCTGCTTCCCCCGCTCCTCCGCCCCTCCTCCCCCACTTTCCCTCCCCCATCCCCTCCCTCCCTGCAGCGGGCGATCGAGTCTGGTTTACCCGATGCGGATGTGAAGCGCATGTGCCTGCGGTATGCCGCATTGGAGAGGCGGCTGGGGGAGATCGACCGCGCGAGAGCCATCTTTGTGCACGCCAGCCAGCTGGCGGACCCGCGGTCCGACGGGGAGTTCTGGGAGGCGTGGAACGCTTTTGAGATCGCCCATGGGAATGAGGACACGTTCCGTGACATGCTGCGAATCAAGCGATCCGTGTCTGCTAGCTACAGCCAGGTGGGTGCTGTGCTACAGACGGGTTTTCGGGAATGCTAGGCACCCGTGGTGGGATGGGGAGTTCTGGGAGGCGTGGAACGCGTTTGAGATCGCGTATGGCAATGAGGACACGTTTCGGGACATGCTCAGGATTAAGCGATCTGTTTCGGCCAGCTACAGCCAGGTGGGTGGGGCTGCTACAGGCGGGTGTGAGCTAGGTCAGTGCTACAGGTACATGGGTTGTCAGGTTTAGGGAATGCTAGGCAACCGCAGTCAGACGGGGAGTTCTGGGAGGCGTGGAACGCGTTTGAGATCGCCCATGGCAATGAGGACACGTTCCGTGACATGCTGCGCATCAAGCGATCCGTTTCGGCCAGCTACAGCCAGGTGGGTTGGTGCTGCAAGCGGGTGGGTGGGTGCTACAGACGGGTGGGTTGTGTAGGGTTTGGGAATGCTGCAGGACCGCGGTCCGACGTTGAGTTCTGGGAGGCGTGGAACGCGTTTGAGATCGCGCACGGGAATGAGGACACGTTTCGCGACATGCTCAGGATCAAGCGATCCGTTTCGGCCAGCTACAGCCAGGTGGGTTGGTGCCACAGCACGGTGGGTGCTACAGGCCGGTGGGTTGTTGTTAGGTTACGGGAATGCCGGAGGCCCGCAGTCTGATGGGGAGTTACCGGGGGGCGTGGAACTTGTTTGAGATCCTGGCACTGGCACCCCCGTGCCCTCCTCCCACCTCCTCCCTTTCCCCCCCCCACCACAGATGCACTTCATCCTGCCTGCCTGAGTTCCCCATGAACAAATCAACCCCCTCCTCTCATGTCTCGCCCTTGCCCTCTCTCTCTGCCCCCTCATCCCATCCCCACCGCATCTCACCCCTCTCCACGCCCACAGATGTACTTCATTCTCCCTGAGTATCTCATGAAGTCAACCCCCTCCGTGCCTCGGGAAGGTGATACTGGCCGGGGCAAGGAGGGCGCATCTGGGGAAGGCTTACTTGACGCCCCAGCTGCTGCTGCTGGTGGCGGGGGGATGGATAGCATGGAAGCTCTGGAGCAGGCGGCTGCTGGGAAAGCAGCAGCAGGAGGAGGAGTGGGAGGAGCAGGGGATGGGGCAGCGAAACCCCGCGTGCCCATGTTTGTGAGTGGGGGGACGGTTCAAGAGCAGGAGACAGGAGCAGGGGTGAAGTCCCAACAGGCAAACCCAGAGGAGATTGAACTGGCTGATGAGGACGAGGATGAGGAGGAAGGGGAGGAGGGAGAGGGAGAGGGAGAGGGAGGGGAGGGGAAGGGGAGGAGCAAGGTGGGGGTGACGCAGGTGTCGGTGCCTGCAGGGGTGTTTGGGGCCCTGGCTGGGAAGGCGGAGGAGATGGCGAAGAGAGAGAGGGAGGCGGCGGAGAAGGGAGGGGAGGATGAAGGGAAGGAGGCGGCGCTGGGAGCATTGGAGCGGTTCAAAAGGCAGAGGAAGCAGTAGGAGGGGGTTTTGAGGGAGTAGGTTGTTGGTAAGCAGTTGAAAGGAACCAGCAGCTGCGGTTGCTCTGAGAAAATGACAGAAGGAAAATAGACGCGAAGCAGTTGCAATGCAAGGAAGTTGTTGCGTAGCGTGGCGATAAAGAGCTTTAGTTTCACCCTTTTGAAAGCACTGGGTGGGTCTGAATGAGTTTCATGCATAGCGTGGCTCCTACTTATTGGGAATTCGTCTTTTCCTCCCTGTGCTATGGAATTGCAGTGCTGGCGGCACTGATCTGTGACCTCTTGCTTGCTACGGTATAAGTGTCCTGTCTCAGTCAAAGCTCGGAATACAGCAAGTTCTGAGGCGGCTTGCATGTGGTAGACAGTGTTTGGGTTGGGCCATTCAAGCTTCGAAATACACTTCAATCTGGTGCCACCATTTAGTGCCAGCCAGAATCTTCATCTCACGTTCCATTTGAGGCAATGCAAACATTCGTCAGGATCAGCAGCATTTCAGGTTGACAATGGCATCTCAAATTTCCAAATGCATCATAAGGGATGACTGGGCAGGCCAACTCTTCATCGGCAGGCTCCTCCAACTGGGGCTGGCTAGAGCCTTGTAACTGAAAGTTGGTTATAACTGGACGTCTGAATCTGAAGCCTTTACAGGAAGAACCTTCTCCTGCTTGTGTCCATGTCGTTCTGCCAATGGAAAAAAAGGGAAGGGACGTGGGGAAGTGGGAAGTGGGAAGGTCTGGATCGACAAAGGGTACCGTAGGCTGACAGACGGTGGGCAAAGGGTCAAAGGAATGGGGAAAGAGAATGCACGACACCTCAAGGCACATCTTTCCCATTGCACTCCATTGCAGACCTTTTCCCACCAAAGCACTTGTTCAATAGACACACTCACATTCACAGACCTCCCCCCTCACCTTCAGATCCAAACCACGTGCAATGGGAATGGGTGCACGTGATGAGGTTTTGCTCGCATGCAGTTCATGGGTGCACATAGTGAGGTTTTACTCTTACATGAAGTACTAGTTTCACCTTGTACCCACTCGTACAGGGGACTGAACTGAACCTGTGCTGGCATTGATGGACTCACCTTATACACCCACTCGTATTCCCCTCCCTTGGAGTCAAACGTGCCCCGCTGCACACTCATAAGCTTGAGCGTGAATCGCGGGCCACACTCCTGCACTCACAGAGGCGGAGGAGAGAGGAGGCAGGAGGGAGTTGAGAGGGAGAGAGAATGCGTGTCAGTAGTTTTTTTTTTTTTTTTTTTTTTTTTTTTTTTTTTTTTTTTTTTTTTTTTTTACCTGCATGGATTAGAATGTTGGGTATGAGAGAGACACCACGAATTTGTTTGGGTTCACGCACGTTGAAACCCCCACTTCACAATCGTATCTCACCTGCAGGCGAGTGAAAATGCCCAGCGATGCGCCCACGCTGCCAGTCTTCTTCCCTGCTGCCGCCGCTGCTGCCCCCCCTACATCTCACCATCCCCCGTCCAACCTCATCTCACCATCCCCCGTCCAACCTCATCTCACCATCAACCTCCCACCCCTCAATCTCTCATCTCCCACCTGCAGGCGAGTGAAAATGCCCAGCGATGCGCCCACGCTGCCAGTCTTCTTCCCTGCTGCTGCCGCCTCCGCTGCCCCATCTCTTGGAATTCACAGAAACAGGAGCTGGTTGCCCTGTCGTCAGCAAAGGCCGTTCGCGAAGGCCTCTACCTTCAGGAGCTGCTGCAGGAGGCGAAAATTCCAGCCTCGGCGAACCTTCGCCTGCACTGTGACAACCAAAGCGCGATCAGGATCGCGAACAAGCCTGGATTCGTCAACCGCACCAAGCACATCGCGCTGCGGTAGTTCTTCGTCAAGGACGAAGTTGACAAGGGCAAGGTTGACCTAACCTATTGCCCGACGGGTGACATGGCAGCCGACTTTCTCACGAAGCGACTGTCACGTCAGCAGTATCAGCACTGCTCCGAACTCATCGGAGTAGTCAAGCGGGTCAAGACTCGCTACGGCCAGGAGTGAAGGGGGTGTTACGAATAGTAATTGAAGAAGCATTACTGTGCACTCCTTACCGCAGCAATCGAAGCACACGATACCGAGGCTGAAGATGAAAAGGCGGAAGTGATACAGTCTTCTTCCCTGCTGCTGCCGCCTCCGCGGCGTGCTGCCGGCCCTCGACGCAGGGAACGCAGGTAGGGGCAGGCCCCGGAGGAAGGGGAGGGAGGGAAGGGGGGAGACCTGAGACAAGGACACGGGAGGCCATGCCTCGGAGACGAGGCAGGGAGGGGTGACCAAGGCGGTGGTGCCAAAGGAGAGTCTCGTGAGACAGGAGGCGACACGAGCAGGGGGCAGACTCAGGGCCAGACCGGGACGCTGCAGCAAACACCTGACCCGACGCGGCTACCCGACCAGACTCAGCAACCGGAGGAGACACGGTAGTCAGGGTGTACAGGCTCGACCCAGGTTGACGGGTGAACGTGGCCAGGTGCCGGCCCGTCCAAGTACACGAACAGTGGGTCACCCGCTGACCTCCAGGAGTGAACTGGTCAACCCACACGTCCTGAAGGTCAGCTCCACTCACCAAGTTCGTGGAGAACGAGGGGAGGTGGAGGCCAGACAGAGAGCCAGACGGGACCGCCGGACACGGCAGGACCGTGGAGGAGTGTGCAAGGACCGGACCCCCAGAGGGGTCAGCCAGAGAGACTGCCACTGGCCGACTGAGCGGCGAGAGTGTGGTGCAGTCGCGAAAGAAGGAGCGGGAAGCACCCGAGTCAAGGGTGAAAGTGTGCAAGGCCGCAGCAGGCGTAGTACCAGAGAGAGCAGACTCACCAGCACCTGGAGGAGTGGACTCCCTAGCGCCTAGAGCAGCAGCCTCACCGGCACCTGGAGCAGGAGACGCACCAGCACCTAGAGCAGCAGCCTCACCAGCACCTAGAGCAGCAGACCTTATACCTGGGTCAGGCGGCACACACAGGTAACAGGCACCCTCAGCACTAGTAGGCAACGCATACATGGCAGTGAGGATAGCATCATAGTCAAGAGTGTCAGAAAGAACGAAACAGGAATGGTTGACTAGCAGGAGGGTTGGGTACAAATAGGTCAAACCTAACCCTAGAAGTGTTGTACTCCCTGAGGCTAAACCCACTATAGCCTACACTATATATAAACATATAATGTTTGACACACCCCCATAGGCGAAGTGGGAGACAACCAGAGGGTCACAAGACCAGTCAAAGCAAAGCAAAGCAAAGCAAAGCTCAGGGTGGATCTCAAGGATACCACACAAATTCCGAGCACAAGCAAGTGGTCACAAGACCAGTTCACATGCAGTTTGATAATAGAACAAGAGGTACAGTGATCACAACCTAGCAAGTGAAAGCATGCAGGTATATATATAGAGATCACAGTACAAGCAGAGTCAAGAAGTGAGCAAGTGAGGGAGAGTAGGCACAAGGCCTAGAACAGTACAGAAACGCTGATGGTCACAAGGCTGAAGCGCCTTGGTGAACACATCAGCAGTGTTGGCCCGAGTGGCCACGTAACGCAGACGAAGCTGACCACGCTGCTGCAGCTCTCGAGCAAGGAAGTAGCGCAGAGCGATGTGCTTCGTTCTGTGCTCCAGTCTATGCTCCTCACACAAGGCAATGGCTGCCTTGTTGTCGACGTACAGCACTGGAGGAGAACAAGGCCGCTCTCCGAGGTCGGTCAGCAGGTAGGTGAGCCAGCGTAGCTCCTGGGCAGCCATGGCTGTGGCGTAGATCTCAGCCTCACAACTGGAGCTGAGAACAGAGGAAGAGCGTGTAGAATGCCAGGAAACAGAGCCAGAGCCAAGGCTGAAGGTGTAACCCTGAGACGACCGCTGAGTAGCCTGGTCGTCTGCCCAAGAAGCGTCTGAGTGTCCAGTGAGGACAACGTCGCGCCGTCCTCCAAGCACAAGCCCCATGCCCGACGTACTGCACAAGTAGCGCAACACCCTCTTAGCTGCATCCATGTGCTCCTTCCGGTGACGGCCAGGAGCGACATAGCGTGCTAGGATGCTAAGAGGGTAGGCTAGGTCAGGTCGAGTGCAGGTCATCAGGTACATGAGGCAGCCCACAAGCTCTGGATACGGGCCACTCGGCTCTACGGACTCATCCGAAGGCAGAGCTGAGAGCGAGTGACCGGTAGGCAGAGGAGTGGGCTGAGGCGAGGAGTACGTGAAGCGGAAGCGCTGAAGGACCTGGTGCACCATGTGTGACTGAGTCAAGGTGATGGTGCGCTGTGCTCTGTCCCGGGTGATCCGCAAGCCAAGATAGCTTGTCAGCTCACCCAGGTCTGTGCACGTGTGTCTCTTCTGCAGCTCCGACTTCATGTGGGCGAGTGCCTCAGTGTCAGCAGTAGCAAAGACCAAGTCGTCTACGTACACGAGAACGTAGAACGGCAGCAGAGTGGTGTCGGTGCGTAGAAACAGCGACGGGTCAGCAGTAGAAGGAGCAAACCCAAGAGCAGCAAGAGTAGTCCTCAGTGTGTCGTGCCACTCACGGGGCGCCTGGCGGAGACCGTAGACCGGCCGCCGGAGGCTCCACTGGGTACCAGGAGGGAACGACCCAGCGAAGCCAGGTGGGCGGCGCAGCCAGATCTCCTCGTGCAGGGTGCCCTGTAGGAACGCAGTGCTGAAGTCAAGGCAGTGGAGCTCGTAGTCACGCTGAGCGGCGACGTGCAGCAGAACCCGAAGAGTGGTCATCTTCGGGGTCGGGGAGAAGGTCTGGAAGAAGTCAACTCCCTCTCGCTGACTGAAGCCTCGTGCAACGTAACGTGCCTTGAAGGCAGGCGGAGAACCCGGCGGCCGCTTCACCCTGAAAATCCACATGCCACTGACGATGTTCGCCCCAGGTGGGGGAACCTTGTCGACGTAGGTGCCTGTGGACTTCCAGGAAGCCATCTCTGCGTCCATGGCTGTCTGCTACTGAGAGGATTACTCACCCTCCATCGCCTCTGCGTAGGAGCGTGGGGTCGAGATGTCTGGTGCATCCGGGTCTCCCTCAGGGGCAATCAGCATGGACACGAGATGAGGTAAAGCAGCAGCAAAGCACTCAAACTCCTCCTGTCTGTCCTCAAGGACGTCCGTGCCAAGAGCACACTCACCCCCGACGGACGGAGGACAGACAGACTCAGACTCAGCGACAAGGCTAGCGGCGTAGTCTAGACGACAGGCGGCAGCAAAGTCAACAAGCTCAGCGACTAGAGCAGACGCAGCAGAGGACTCAAAGGTAGGGTCAGTGACAACAGTGGCAAGGAAACGCGTGACAGTAGGACTAGCAGCACGAAGGGAGTCAGACTCCGGGTCCGGACCGTCAGGAAGAGAGGACGCAGGAGGAGACGGCAGAGGGACACGCTGGGGAGCAGTGGAAGGACGCAGAGTCATATAGTGAGTGCCAGGGACAGGAGGAGGACGCTCACGCGGAACACGACGACCAGTGCGGACAGCGCGAACAGGCGACTCAGGACGAGACTCAGGCGACGCAGGACGAGAGTCAGGCTCACGACGCTCCGTAAGACCTCTAGTCGGTCCAGAGTTAGGAGAAGGACCACGCAGTGGAGAGGCTGGCTGTAACTGTGACTGCGACTGGACAGGCGGTGGACTCAGTAGGGGAGGAGTAGGACCAGTAGAAGGCGGGAGGCCAAGAACCTGCTGAAGGAGCGGAACGTAGTACGGCCGCGGCCGCGCAGCGCCTCCTGAACCAGCAGAGACAGCTCCAGTACCCTCAGCTCCAGGGTCTCCAGCTCCAACTCCCGCAGTGCCACCAGCAGCACCAGCTCCAGCAGCACCAGCTCCAGCAGCACCAGCTCCAACTCCCGCAGCACCACCAGCAGCACCAGCTCCAGCAGCACCAGCTCCAACTCCTGCAGCACCACCAGCCCCAGCAGCTCCAGTACCTCCAGTACGAGCACCTCCGGGACCAGCGGCTCCAGTACCTCCAGCAGCTCCAACACCCGCAGGGCCTCCAGCAGCGGCAGGACCTCCAGCACGAGCACCTCCAGGACCAGCAGCTCCAGCAGCTCCAGCACCAGCAGCACCTCCAGCAGCGGCAGGACCTCCAGCACGAGCACCTCTAGGACCAGCAGCTCCAGCAGCTCTAGCACCAGCAGCACCTCCAGCAGCGCCAGTACCTCCAGTACGAGCACCTCTAGAACCAGCGGCTCCAGCAGCTCCAGCACCAGCAGCACCTCCAGCAGCTCCAGCACCAGCAGCACCTCCAGCAGCTCCAGCACCAGCAGCACCTCCAGCAGCACCACCAGCAGCTCCAGCACCAGCAGCACCTCCAGCAGCAGCCCCCCCAGCTCCAGCAGCACGGCTACAGCGCCGAGCGTACCACTCACGAAGCTGCCGTGGAGAGAGGGGCTCCCGCCGTGACGGGACACTCGGAAGACCTCCAGTCTCAGCACCCCCAGACACAACACCCCCAGGCTCAGCACCCCCAGACTCAGC